TCACTGGTATGGACTATGGTGCACAAAGTGCACCTGTGCACACTTCAGACCAAGGATGGAGGCAGTCATTCAAGCAGGAGAGGGGATATATTGAGTAGATGTATTCTTTACGGCCATACAAACAATATGGTTAAAAAAATTTGTAAACCATTTTGCTTTTTGCAATAAAAATTATGTTTGGAAAAAATGTGTAATTTGTCTGGATTTTGGCACCCCACCCTGTATTATTATTATGTATAGCTTACTTTATTAGTGAAGTTGATTAAAATATATTCCAAAATGATAGTTTATTTGGAATATATAATATTTTCTTATCATAAGTGCAAAAATATCTAATCAACTCTATTTCAAAAGTCTGGTATACTGATACTTAATTTAATAAATAAATTTCCAAACAAAAAACTTACATAAAATATTTCTTGTTTTAGTTTTTTCTGTAGTTTCTGAATATCCACTTTGAATAGTCTCTGGTTGAAATAATTGTAGTGTATCTGAAAATCATTCAAATTTTAGTTTATTTAAAAATCAAAAACTATCTTTATCATCATTATAGTTATTAATTACAAATATAATTGTCTTTTCATTTTTTGTTTTAAATATAATGTTTAAAATGATATATTTACTACTTACTTCTGTTAAAATGCAGAAAATTTTGGAAAAATTGAATATATAGTACCTAATTCATTCTTGTCTCAGTTATTACTTAAGCCCATAACCCGAGATATCTCGGGCAAGTTACATAGCGTTACATAAAATGCGGTCCTTAAGGCCACATTTTATGTAACGCTAAAATGTAAATTTTATGTAACTTTTTGAATTTTTTTTTTATTTTTGGAATGTTTTTTAAGTCTCCAAATTTTTTCAAAATTTTTTTCCCATGCGAAAAAATTTTATCGCGATTTTAATTTACCTTTAATGACGCACGCTTCACGCTAATTGCTTTTTAATAGTTTTTTAATGGGAGTTTGATATCAAATTTCATTCATTGTTCTAAAGTTGTAGTGCACGGATTTTACTTCGGTAAAGTTATTTAAAGCTACTTTCTGATATCAAAAACGACCTTCAATAGTTTTTTAAATTTTTTTTAATTAATAGATTTTATTATATATAAGTTTAATTAAGTTGGGGGGATTGGAAATCTCAATAAAAATTTTAATTTTTTAAAAATATTTAAAAATATAGGTCTAGTTAGTATTCACCCTATTTTAAACCCTTCTCCTCCCGAGACGTCTATGAGAATGTCCCGGGAAATACAACACCAGCTATTCTCAAGGTCATCCAGCTGTGTAAACAATGACTCGTCAGTGTCAAATTTCACAGAAAGACGAGACAGGAAAATAAAATTTGAAGCTTTTCTTCAAAATTAACGCATTTCTTTCGTTTTTTTTTTTTTTTAGTTTTAAGTATTTTTTATGTTTAATTACATTAATATCAAAAATTGCTCCAGGCTTAAGGAGTTAAAATTAATTTAAATAGTTTAAATTTAAACTTAGTTGCTTCTAATGTACTCTGTATTGAATTTGGGTTTTATAAGTTGAAGAATGGGGAGAAATTCCTATATGACAATAACCAAAAATACTGCATATAAAAATATCACATTTTTATATTTTTATGTATGTGTTACTGTGAATGACCGATATTTGGCGAATGTCAACATTCTCCGGTGAATGTCAGCATTCACACAGTCGTTTTGTGTATGTACGAAATATTTGCTAAATATCATTATTTCTCACACCGGCAAATGTTCAGCATGCACTGATGATGAATGTTGAATAAAAGTATGTTTATTACGTTAAGACAAAAATGCAACTTTTTAATATGTCAAAATAGGAGAAAGCTTAAGTAACAGCACATATAAATAAACTGTTGAACCTAAAACGAACAGTACATTGTTAATCAGAAAAGAAAAATAATACACAAAATTACACATACACATAAACTATGTGATTAACATTATACAATCTTATTTATTGCAATAACTTAAACTGTTATGGCACTTTGTGTCCCTTGCTTTTACAACTGCATTTATTCGTGGAACACTTCTTTTTGCAATGACAGCATGTACAGCCTTGCCCTCCACTTTTCGAATTAGCTGTAGCTGCTTCTCTCGGCGATATTTCTTGAGAAGAAATCTCATATATGGAAAGTAACTTTTCTTTACAAATTATGAACTGATCTGTTAATGGTGTCTTTTATTTGGATATCGTCGACGCCTTACCGACGACCCCTCTCATCCTCCGCCACTCGACCTGTCAAACCGATCCCACCTCACGGGATCAAAAGAACAAAAACACCATCCAGTGACAAAGTGGGCGATTTCCACCAAACCATTGTCGGGAAAAGAGGTACGATCTTGTCCTACCTCTGGCTACCCACAAAGGATTTGGCGACAGACTATCTCCTCGACATCGGCTTTTCAGGTGTCGTTGCGACCTCCACCAAAGCTTATCTGTGCTTGTCGACATACACCGGCGATTGTTCGAATGTATAATAATATAACCAAATATTCGGTCTTTCACCGACGTATTTTGTATGTGTCGACATTCACCGGAGAATATCGACATTCTCTAATTTCGGTCTTTCACAGTAACATATATATA